GAGAGCTCACCGAACTCAAACTAATCACTAGGCATGCGCAATCCATTAAAAAGTTTCAAAAGTCATTACAAAACTAATGTTTCATTTCTAAAATGTTCTGAAAGTCTTGTTAGTGAAATTTTTGTGTGTCGAAAACCTTGTGAAATTTTCGTGTTTCGACAGTCTCGTTAGTGAAATTTTTGTGTTTCGAAAATCTTGTGACAATTTTCGTGTTTTGACAGTCTCGTTAGTGAAATTTTTGTGTTTCGAAAATCTTGTGAAATTTTCGTGTTTTGACAGTCTTGTTAGTGAAATTTTTGTGTTTCGAAAATCTTGTGAAATTTTCGTGTTTTGACAGTCTCGTTAGTGAAATTTTTGTGTTTCGAAAATCTTGTGAAATTTTCGTGTTTTGACAGTCTCGTTAGTGAAATTTTTGTGTTTCGAAAATCTTGTGAAATTTTCGTGTTTTGACAGTCTCGTTAGTGAAATTTTTGTGTTTCGAAAATCTTGTGAAATTTTCGTGTTTTGACAGTCTCGTTAGTGAAATTTTTGTGTTTCGAAAATCTTGTGAAATTTTCGTGTTTTGACAGTCTCGTTAGTGAAATTTTTGTGTTTCGAAAATCTTGTGAAATTTTCGTGTTTTGACAGTCTCGTTAGTGAAATTTTTGTGTTTCGAAAATCTTGTGAAATTTTCGTGTTTTGACAGTCTCGTTAGTGAAATTTTTGTGTTTCGAAAATCTTGTGAAATTTTCGTGTTTTGACAGTCTCGTTAGTGAAATTTTTGTGTTTCGAAAATCTTGTGAAATTTTCGTGTTTTGACAGTCTCGTTAGTGAAATTTTTGTGTTTCGAAAATCTTGTGAAATTTTCGTGTTTTGACAGTCTTGTTAGTGAAATTTTTGTGTTTCGAAAATCTTGTGAAATTTTTCATTTTAATAAAGAGAGTAACGAAATTTCATTACTAATTCGTTGAAGTAATTGCAGGCCTGAGGGGAGGGCTTCTGGTGTGCCTTTCTCCCTCATTTTTACAACTATTGGTGTGAAACTTGCTACAATCGTAGAACACATTCACCACTTTTAGCCCACCAAATTTCAGAACGTTTCACTTATCCATGAATTTTTGGGAAATTTTCAAAATTTTTATATTGTTGACTTAACCATACTATGACCCTGGCCATTAGTTTCTGGGTGAAATTCAAAATATAGAGCCATATATAACAGATCCAGGCTATTTGGCAAAACATATCCCCTGTTGGAGTTCAGCCTGTGATTGTGTGCCAGGATCAAGATGCTTTGGATGTGGGAAGTGATGCCAATGAATTTCAAGATGGCAATGGTTTGGCCAATGATACTGATGCAGAGAAGGACCTGTGCAAAGTGTAGTTTCCCATGAGAATGTCCCTGAAGGGTGTGGGGATGAGAATGTACTCCATAAATTGCTACTAGAGGGTTCCCAGGATTTGGGGCTTGAAAACAACTGGGCACCTGGCCCAGCTGCGAGACTTAATGAGCAAATAGATAGGCGAGAGGAAATTAGTCAAAACAGACATACCAAACAGTGCCTTCGGCATTCTGCCAGGCTTCAACAGAAAAAGATAAAGGGATCTCAAGTAAAACGAAACCAATTCCTGAGTGTGTGGAATAGCTTAACAAGGGGGTAAAAAGTTCCAAGTATGGGAAATATCGTTAGACGATGTTTAAGGAGCTCCATTGGCTGCCGTTCATTTACCTGTCCCAATTCAAGGTGCAGGTGCTTACCTACAAAGCCCTAAACGGTTTGGGACCTGCCTACCTGCGTGACCGCATCTCTGTGTACGAACCCACACGATCTCTTCGACCATCTGGAGAGGCCCTGCTCACACTCCTGCCACCATCGCAAGCACGATTGGTGGGGACGAGGGAGAGAGTCTTCTCAGTGGTGGCCCCTTGACTCTGGAACTCACTCCCTAAGGATATTAGGCATGCCCCAACTCTGGCAGTCTTTAGGAGGAGCCTGAAAATGTGGCTGTTTCGGTGTGCCTTCCCAGAATAAGGAAACTCCCAGCAATATGTCCTTAAACGCACTTTAATAATGACTTTAGATTGTCTGCACATTTCTTCCCTCTCCATAACCTCTCTCCCAATTACATGTTACCTGTTCATGCCCAGCATTATTTTTAAATTTTTAATTATTACATTTGGCCCAGCCATAGGTTTTTAAATGTGATGTTTATTGTTATTTTTTTTGCTTATTTTGCTTATGAGTTTATGTATTGCTTTTGTATTATTGTTGTTATTGTTTAATGTTGTATTGTCGGCTCATGTAAGCCGCACCGAGTCCCTTGGGAGATGGTAGCGGGGTACAAATAAAGTGTTATTATTATTATTATTATTATTATTATTATTATTACGTTGGAATCAAGTGTAGCTCTTATCCTTTGTTTCATGGAAGCTTTACTTGGAAGATATTTGTCTAAGTATTTCTTGTTCATGGTTTGGTCTCTGGGAATGTATGAATGCCTACTCATGCCTTGGATTAATGTTTCCTGTTTTTCATGAATTATATTAGTGTGGACTTTGTTTTTATGGACTTTGCTGAACTTTACCCTGGATTATTTTTGCTCCTGCTTATCTTCTTACCTAATTGGATTTACCTATTTCTTTAAAGTGTTTTTTACTTGCTGCTTTTTAATTATCTTCAATAAAAGGATTGTTTTCCAATCAACATGGTGTGGTGTTCACATTCAGAGGGCTTTTCGTGTACTGGAATGCAACATTCCCCCCCCCCCCCCGCATAATACAAAGGAACTAACAGATCCCCTACCCCTAGCAGCATTAATCCACCTGCTGCCTGACTCTGCATTTCCTCTTGCGTGGTTGTATTGCCCAGTTAACAAGATCCAGTAGCCGAGCAAGGCAGAGATGGGGCTGGATGGAACTAGACTGGAGGCATTACACTGGTGGGGAGGGAAAGAGCTAAAAAAGTGCAGTGTCTGTACATAGACTTAAACAATTACAGTGTGGAAAAAGAAAAAAAAATGGGGTGAGATTGAGCCTCTGTGTGTCCTCCCTATTTCCCTTCCCTTCTCTCCCCCACTCCTTCCCCCAATGTTTCCAACTTGACACACTTCACCTCCTTCTGCGTTTTTATTAGCTGGTATTCTCAATACATTGGCGACAGCTATGATGAAACCAGTGGCAGATTTTCCTGCAAAGCAGCTGGGTCATCGTCCCATGGGCCTTGTTGCCTTTACCATGCAAGAGATCTTAAAGTGGCCATGCCTGGATTAGCTGCCATTTGGAAACAGCCGGAATGGGAGGATGTGGAAGTGTGAAATACACTGTGTGGAGAGCAGTGGCTAATGTATGTATGCACACAGAATGGCTTCTACTTTTTAGAAGTTGTAACTATTACAGCAGGTGATCAGGGTGTCTAGGACAGGGCATCAGAGTCATAGCACAAAGTGCAGTCAGCCCTCCACTAGGCTTGGGTAACCATGGAAAAATTTGGTTCTAAACTCGTTTTGTTTTTAGGGGGCCCTTGCGTTTTGTTTTTTTTAATAATTCCGAAATTTTCCTTTTAAAAATTTCAAAATATATGAAATTTCGTAAAATTACGAATCAATTCGTTAATGGCAGACGCGATTGCGCAATATGCTAAAAAAGCCTCCAAATGGGACAGGAGGAACTTCTGAAGCTTCCCTCTCCCTCTGTTGTTGACTGTTGGTGTGATAAAACACACAACAACTATAAAACTTGCACCAGACATGCGAAAATAATTACGAAATAATTACTAAATAATTACAAAATAATTACGAAATAATTACGAAATACTTACGAAATATTGTCGAAGGCTTTCATGGCTGGAATCACTCAGTTCTTGTGGGTTTTTTCGGGCTATATGGCCATGTTCTAGAAGCATTTCTCCTGACGTTTCGCCTGCATCTATGGCAAGCTTCCTCAGAGGTGACCTCACCTCTGAGGAAGCTTGCCGTAGATGCAGGCGAAACGTCAGGAGAAATGCTTCTAGAACATGGCCATATAGCCCGAAAAAACCCACAAGAACTGACTTACGAAATAAATTGAAAAAATTGTTTCGAATCTAATTTACTCCTCACACTATTCCTGCATGGCTCAATATTGGATCGTAAGCTAATTTAAATACGAATTAATAACGAATTACGAAATTAACAAACGAAACCGCCCAAGCCTAACCTCCACATATGTTGAGGTTAGGGGGCACAGGACCCCTATGAAACTGGAAAACAGCAAATAAAGAAGTGCTATTTTTAACTTATCTATCTATATAAAAATGCTCTGTGCATAATGAGTTCCTTAAAAACAAAAGAACCAATGAACGAAATCACACCAAATTTGGCAACAAAATGTCTCACAACACAAGGAGTGACCATCACTCAAAAAATTATGATTTTGTCATTTGGGAGTTGTAGTTGCTGGGATTTATAGTTCACCTACAATCAAAGAGCATTCTGAACCCACCAATGATGGAATTGAACCAAACTCGGCACACAGTTCCCATGACCAACTTAAAACACTCGAAGCGTTTGGTGGGAATTGACCTTGAGTTTGGAGTTGTAGTTCCTCTACATCCAGAGAGCACTGTGGACTCAAACAATAATGAATCTGGACCAAACCTGGTACAAATACTCAATATGCCCAAATATAAACAGAGATGGAGTTTGGGGGAAATAGGCCTTGACATTTGGGAGTTGTAGTTACTGGGATTCACAGTTGGCAGCTGTGCAGGCAAGTGTTTCATTTCCGAGTGTCAAATCAAATATACATTGTCGGTCAGTATGGCACATCATTTGTCCGCTTGGGGATTCCAAAAGGGAAGTGATAAGGAAGCAAAGATCAAACATGACAAATGCAGGGGGAAAAAGAACTTTAAACTGTATATGATGGGCTTTATCATTGACTGTCATCTCATGTATTGCTTGCAGTGTTGGTGATGAGTTATGATGGAAGTAAATGCTGAAGACAGACAGACAACCCACGTCATAGCAAATCCCATCCCGCTTACCTGGAACCGCCGCATATCTCGAGGGTTCCCAGCGGTTTTCAAACAATTCTGATTGCACTTGAGGAAAAATTTTAGGAAGAATCTGTAGGGGAAAACAAAGAGAATCTGTGTGACATCCTTCATTTGAGAAAAAGATAATCAACCTCTGCTATTTATCCACTTTGTGCTTATATGATTGTGCCCCTGGCAGAATTCATCAGGGGATATCAACAGACTGTTTTTAAAAAGGATCCTGTCAATTAAAATAGATGAAAATGACACTTCTGGATGCACCTATTCATCCTCCAAAACAGTAGAGAATATTGTTGGGAACCAGAGATCTTCTAACTTGTTTAGTTCAAAGTATATTGGAGGAAGATTCAACTTAAAACACACACCCCTATTAAAACAGCTTCATTGGCTGCCGATAAGTTGCCGAGCCAAATACAAGGTGCCAATTTATTTTTGTTGCTACTTCATAATTAGAATTTGGCTTTCAAAGGCAGCAGATCACAGGAGCTGTCTTCATAGACCTGTCAGCAGCCTATGAGACTGTGAACCACCGCCTCCTCCTGAGAAAAATGTATAATATCACAAAGGACTACCGTCTCACCCGCCTCATAGGAAACCTGCTACAAAACAGGAGCTTTTTTGTTGAGTTCCAGGGCCAGAGAAGCAGATGGCGGAAACAGAAGAACGGCCTGCCTCAGGGGAGCGTGCTTGCTCCATCCATGTTCAACATCTACACAAATGACCAGCCACTGCCAGAAGGGACAGAGAGTTTCATCTATGCTGATGATCGTGCCATCACCGCTCAAGCAGGGAGCTTTGAGATGGTAGAACAGAAGCTCTCCGAAGCTCTAGGTGCCCTTACTGCCTATTACAGGGAAAACCAGCTGATCCCCAACCCATCCAAAACACAGACATGTGCCTTTCACCTCAAGAACAGACAAGCATCCCAAGCTCTGTGGATCACCTGGGAAGGAAGGAATCCCACTGGAGCATTGCAGCACACCCAAATACCTGGGAGTCACTCTGGACCGTGCTCTTACCTACAAGAAGCACTGCCTGAACATCAAGCAAAAAGTGGGTGCTAGAAACAATATCATACGAAAGCTGACTGGCACAACCTGGGGATCACAACCAGATACAGTGAAGACATCTGCCCTTGCGCTATGCTACTCTGCTGCTGAGTATGCATGCCCAGTGTGGAACACATCTCACCATGCTAAAACAGTGGATGTGGCTCTTATGAGACATGCCGCATTATCACGGGGTGTCTGTGCCCTACACCACTGGAGAAATTACACTGCTTAGCCAATATTGCACCACCTGACATCCGCCGGGAAGTAGCAGCCAATAGTAAAAGGACCAATGCAGAGACATCTCCAGATCATCCCCTGTTTGGGTATCAGCCAGCACGTCAATGACTTAAATCTAGAAATAGTTTTCTAAGATCTACAGAGACACTCGCTGGAACACCTCAGCAAGCGAGAGTCCAAAAGTGGCAGGCTCAAACCCAGAACCTCAACCAATGGCTGATACCAAATGAGAGACTCCCCCCTGGGCACACAGGGGCTGGGGGACTTGGAAGGCGCTGAACAGACTGCGCTCTGGCACCACGAGATGCAGAGCCAACCTCAGAAATGGGGCCACAAAGTGGAATCCACGACATGCGAGTGTGGAGAAAGCAAACCACTGACCAGCTGCTGCAATGCAACCTGAGCCCTGCCACATGCACAATGGAGGACCTTCTTGCGGCAACACCAGAGGCAATCCAAGTGACCAGATACTGGTCAAAGGACATTTAATCAACTACCAAACTCACAAATTTTGCATTTTGTCTGTTTGTTTGCTTTGTTAGAAATGTAATAAAATTTGACTGGTTGTCCTGACACGACAAATAAATTAGAATTTGGTCCTATAAAGCCCTAAACGGTTCGGAGGCAGAGAAGCATGTGAGAACCCAATTACTCTTTCTTCATACTTTCACTGAACATCATAGAATCATAGAGTTGGAAGAGAACTCGTGGGCCATCCAGTCCAACCCCCTGCCAAGAAACAGGACAATTGTGTTCAAAGCACTCCCAAAAGATGCCCATCCAGCCTCTGTTTAAAAGCCTCCAAAGAAAGAACCTCCACCACACTCTGAGGCAGAGTTCCACTGCTGAACAGCTCTCACAGTCAGGAGTTCTTCCTAATGTTCAGATGGAATCTCCTTTCTTGTAGTTTGAAACCATTCTTCCATTGCGTCCTAGTCTCCAAGGCAGCAGAAAACAAGCTTGCTCCCTTCTCCCTGTGACATATTCCTCTCACATACTTATACATGGCTATCATCATGTCTCCTCTCAGCCTTCTCTTCTTCAGGCTAAATATGCCCAGTTCTTGAAGCCACTCCTCATAGGGCTTGTTTTCCAGGCCCTTGATCATTTTAGCCACCCTCCTCTGGACACATTCCAGTTTGTCAACATCTCCCTTCAATTATGATGCCCAGAATTGGACACAGTATTCCAGATGTGGTCTGACCAAGGCAGAACAGAGCACGGGGAGCATGACTTCCCTGGATCTAGGCACTAGACTTCTATTGATGGAAAAGAGTGTTTGAGGACCGGGACATCCGTAGGGAGACCAAGGTGCTTGTTTATAAAGCTATTGTCCTCCCAACCCTGCTATATGCCTGCGAGACGTGGACTATCTACAGATGTCACATGCAACTCCTAGAACGATTCCATCAAGCGTTGCCTCCAAAAATCCTGCAAATCTCTTGGGAAGACAAGCGGACAAATGTCAGCGTGCTGGAAGAAGCAAAGACCACCAGCAATGAAGCGATGGCCCTCCACCATCAACTCCGCTGGACTGGCCACGTTGTCTGGATGCCTGACCATTGTCTCCCAAAGGAGTTGCTCTACTGAAGGAGGCTTCAAGGGTCTTTGAGTGAAATTAAGCAAGGGGCTTTGAATGAAATTAACAGCAAAAGAGAAACATACCCTTTCTCTGTAGAAAAATAGCAATACGGAAGAAAATGTTTTTAAGAAACAAGATGTGACATGTAGAAGGTACTTTCTTACACAGGATGCGTTGTGGTTAACTTCAAAGGTTGTAGTAAAGTGCAGAGTATGCATGTACAAGAAGGTACTTTCCATCGAAAGGTCAAGGGAGAGGGGCTGGAAAGAGAGTACTTTCCATGAAAAAAATGTTTTCTTTTGTTAAAGGTTAAAATTGTTGATGTCAGGCAGTGGCACTTTCCCTTTTTGTTTGCACTGGGCTATAAAGTTTGCAGATTTCAAGGGAAGAGCGCGGCAGTCAATTGAAGGGTAACATCTGTGCATGCTACCCAGCTGTCCGTCTTCTTCATGAAGAAACTAAGATAAAACCTTGTTTTTTGATCTTTCATTGGGACTGTCTCCTTCCTTTCGTGCTCCCGCGACGTGGACCTAAAAAGACCCAGTTTAGGGTCTCTAACACTACTCCGAACTCAAGAATGGAAAACGGAATGTTGGAGGGCAGGAAAAGAGATTGAAAGATGGGCTCAAAGCCAATCTTAAAAATTCTGGCATAGACACTGAGAACTGGGAAGCCCTGGCCCTTGAGACTGGGAAGCCCTGGCCCTTGAGCGCTCCAGCTGGAGGTCAGCTGTGACCAGCAATGCTGTAGAATTTGAGGAGGCATGAATGGAGAACATCCGTAGGGAGACCAAGGTGCTTGTTTATAAAGCTATTGTCCTCCCAACCCTGCTATATGCCTATGATATATGGACTATCTCCAGGCATCACACTCAACTCTTAGAACGATTCCATCAGCGTTGCCTCCGAAAAACCCTGCAAATCTCTTGGGAAGGCAAGTGGGCAAATGTCAGCGTGCTGGAAGAAGCAAAGACCACCAGCATTGAAGCGATGGTCCTCCACCATCAACTCCGCTGGACCAGCCACGTTGTCCGGATGCCTGACCACCGTCTCCCAAAGCAGTTGCTCTACCTCAAACTCAAGAATGGAAAACGGAATGCTGGTGGGCAGGAAAAAAGATTTAAAGACGGGCTCAAAGCCAACCTTAAAAACTTAGGCATAGACACTGAGGACTGGGAAGCCCTGGCCCTTGAGCGCTCCAGCTGGAGGTCAGCTGTGACCAGCAATGCTGTAGAATTTGAGGAGGCATGAATGGAGAACATCCGTAGGGAGACCAAGGTGCTTGTTTATAAAGCTATTGTCCTCCCAACCCTGCTATATGCCTATGATATATGGACTATCTCCAGGCATCACACTCAACTCTTAGAACGATTCCATCAGCGTTGCCTCCGAAAAACCCTGCAAATCTCTTGGGAAGGCAAGTGGGCAAATGTCAGCGTGCTGGAAGAAGCAAAGACCACCAGCATTGAAGCGATGGTCCTCCACCATCAACTCCGCTGGACCAGCCACGTTGTCCGGATGCCTGACCACCGTCTCCCAAAGCAGTTGCTCTACCTCAAACTCAAGAATGGAAAACGGAATGCTGGTGGGCAGGAAAAAAGATTTAAAGACGGGCTCAAAGCCAACCTTAAAAACTTAGGCATAGACACTGAGGACTGGGAAGCCCTGGCCCTTGAGCGCTCCAGCTGGAGGTCAGCTGTGACCAGCAATGCTGTAGAATTTGAGGAGGCATGAATGGAGAACATCCGTAGGGAGACCAAGGTGCTTGTTTATAAAGCTATTGTCCTCCCAACCCTGCTATATGCCTATGATATATGGACTATCTCCAGGCATCACACTCAACTCTTAGAACGATTCCATCAGCGTTGCCTCCGAAAAACCCTGCAAATCTCTTGGGAAGGCAAGTGGGCAAATGTCAGCGTGCTGGAAGAAGCAAAGACCACCAGCATTGAAGCGATGGTCCTCCACCATCAACTCCGCTGGACCGGCCACATTGTCCGGATGCCCAACCACCATCTCCCAAAGCAGTTGCTCTACTCCAAACTCAAGAATGGAAAACGGAATGCTGGTGGGCAGGAAAAGAGATTTAAAGATGGGCTCAAAGCCAACCTTAAAAACTCTGGCATAGACACTGAGAACTGGGAAGCCCTGGCCCTTGAGCGCTGCTGGAGGTCAGCTGTGACCAGCAATGCTGTAGAAT